ATTTAAAAAGTTGATTTTAATTAGTAAAAGAGTTTAAAAGTGAATTTATTTTTAATTTTATAATTTCTGATGTACAGGACAGTAGTCACAACCAAGATATTTTCAAGTTTGATTGAGCCGGAATAGGCAACACCTAATACATTAAAATGTATTTTGAGTAGTTGCACTAGTAAATTTAAATATTTAATTATATTATAATATTTTATGTATCTTTTAGAACTTAGAATATTAAAACACTACAGCTTTTTAAGTAGCGATTTTAATCATTCATTGCTCTTGACTACTTACGAAATACTACTAACACTAAAAATATGTTTATTTGCAGACGATGCAAGGCACTAAAAAAGACAAGAAAACAATAATTTCATATTTCTATTCATTTTTATAACTTGTAACTTACCTCTCTTACAGCTGTTAAAGGTAAAAGTGGTCCATCATTTTCACGCTCTCGTTCAAAATAATGTATTAAAGAAGCTATCAACTCCTTACAACGACTATTTAGTTTTTTAGGCATTTTGTACATAAAAAATAAACGACAAATAATCAGCTTATTTACACTATGGTTGTTTTGAAAAACAGTTTTTTATAAGTATAACTAGCAAAGCCTAAAAATACAGGTAAAAAGATTTTAAATTACAGAAAATAAAATGCAAAATCGAGAATCAACTAACTAAATCAGTGAAATTTTATAAAAAACAATTTCAACACCGCAACAAGGTGTACCAATTACTGTAATGATATTTCTTCTCTATAAATACGAGCTTCGTGGGCGTACAGAATGTCAAAATTATTTAATGTAAAGTATTATTTTTTGAGTACTAAACATATAATAATGTTTTTATACATTTTATATCAAGAATTACACATGTATAAACTGATTTAAATAATTCTAAATTTATCAAAATAATCACCATAACATTTTTCGATTTTTTAGTAATATGACTACGTTTATGAATGCTTGTGACTATTCTTGACTTTTTCGGATTATTAACTTAGTAAGGAAAATTTTAATTAGTTGGTAGTGCTATGACGAAAGTCTAACGTAAGTTCTAAAGAAAGTGAGGAAGAATCAGACGCAGATGACGACCAGCCTCGTCCTGTACTATGAAAGCAGCCATATGCCAGCTTCAAACCAAAGTATGCAATTCTTTATTTATGCACACTGCTCATTGTACCAATCTAAGGCTTGCTTTACCCAAAATAGTAAAACTAAAAAACTAAAACCAAAAGAAACTGATCATTATGAAATAATGATCGTGCTCGGTTGCACTATGAATATGTGCTATAATAAACTACCCAGTATAAAATAATATTGGTCAAGAAACAAGTTTCTTGGCAACGCTGTCATAAAATGGGCTATATTACGCGATCGATGTTGCTATTTACTATCAAAAATATACTACAATGATCCTCAGAATATCGGTGATGCATCTAAGACCTACTACTTAGATGAAGTAGTTTCATGTTTAAAATATACGTTTCAAAAAGCCAGAACTGAAAGTTCTAATCAGTCTATTGATAAAACCATGACCAAATTCAAAGGAACATTATCCCTAAAACAGTATATTTTACCCAAAGAATCTAAAGCCGTAGATAGTAGTCTGAGGAACGTGTGGTGACAAAACTAGCTAGTACAATACGTTCTCCTGATGTATGCCTCTGCTTTGATAGGTTTTTACGTCTGTCAAGTTGCTGAGTAAAATGAATTATCCATGTGTTGGCACATATATGAGCAATCGCAAAAATTCACCAAAGTTTGAAGTGAAAAAATGTTAAGAGGAGAGTCAGATTTCCAAGTTTTGGATAAAGTTATTGTAAGCACCAGATGGCAATATACTAAAAATGTGCTCTTAATGTCAAATTGTCATGGTACATATACTGGACTTATCGGGAGAAAACTCCGAACTGGTGAACATGCTGAGATTGAATGTCCCGAAGCAATTATCTTCTACAACAAATTCATGGGGGGAGTGGATCTGTCGGATCAAAAAGTATCTACCTATGACTATGACTGAAAATCCACCAAATGGTAGCGAAAAGTTTTTTATAAATTGCTAATGTCTGCTGTTGTGAATTCATGGATAACAAACAACGATATAAATAAGAAGAAAAACAGTTTATTGAATTTTTTGGTTCCATTGGCTAAACAACTACTCGAACAAGAAAGATTAAGATCGAAAGTAAAGAGAGGCTTGAGTGGTCGCTCTGGAAGACCTTCTAAACGTCAGAAAGTAATGGTAAATGTCGGGGATCATTTTTCAATGCAAGGTGCAAGTAGGAGGTGACATTACCGGGCTCTCTCTTTAAAAAGGAAACCAGAACCAAGACCATTTGTGTTTCATACAACTATGCTTTGTGTAAGACGTGTTTTTTACCACATCATTCTTGATTTTCTATGTCGTACTTTGTAATTGTTTCAATAAACCATATTTTAGACTTAATTCATTACTATTAATGGGGCACATTGTTCCCACAAAAAACCTCTTCCAAAGGACTCAAGGATACAAAACAATGTACATTATTTTTATTACTATTAGAAGCCTATTGATATTATTTTCATGTTTAAAAACCTTTGGATAGTAGCAGAACGATTTCCATCCTGAAAGGGTTAAAAAAAATTGTTCTAAGGTTAACCCTAAAATTGGTATTATGACGAGTATAATATGATTTTCAATATTGTTTAGGTATTAAAGATTTTTAAATTAATACATTCCTGTTGTGGAATATTCGCAAAGAGATTTGGTTAGGTTAAGTAGAAAATGAGTGGAATAATCTCATCACCTTCCACTGGGACAAACATGGATCTGTTGTGGCTTATATGAAATTTATGGTTCATCATCTTTTAATGAAGGTCATGGTTGAGTTGGGTGATACTTGCTTAAAGTCAGTAGGCTCCAGTCGGGTGAATCCGAAGATCTGAAACCTAGTTCTTTTTAATGCAGAGCAGGTATATAAAATGTGCTATGGAGATTCGTGTTTCACGCTGCATAATCGACAGTCCGATATTTGTTGCAAACCTATTCTTTACATGAAAGGGTTAGTTATGAACGCATTTGAATATGCCCTGGATTATGTTTCCAGATTGAAACTGTTACACGCTTTGTTTATTTTATAATTGGCAGTGCTCTTAGCAGTACCCAGCAATGGTTATGATCATGTGAACACAGAATCGGTTTCTCTTTTAGCGTGTGCATCGGATTTTTCATCCTTAACACCGCCATGTCCCGGAACCCAGATCAAAGAACTTTGTTCGGGGCACCGAGACACTCGAAGGAATTTATACAGTTTAAAACCGAAAAATCGTAATAGTCTTGTTTGCAGGAAAAAAAAATACAACTCCCTCGCTCCCAATTCTATAACGACTATTTTATCTGGGAAGATCGTAGCCACTATTGGCTTCTGGCCGAAAACTCCCGTTACTATCTTTTTCAGTTCTGTAGTCATGTACAGCATATAGTCTGTCTTGAAAAGGGTTTAATCCTCTTGGCTTCATACGTCTCTTTCTGGAATGAAGACGCTGTATGAATTTTCTATATGCTGCCAAAGAACTGGTGAGTGTGAGACCATGCCGAAGCTGTGGTGGTTATTAATCGTACTTATCAGTCCCGTTTTGTCTCATTGACTGCACACCTTTAGAAGTTTATAAAAGACCATCCTGGTATCCCTTACCAACAGAATGAGGAGAAGGGTTAGATCCAGCATGTTCTCCTTGTCTCCCGTTGTGGCTGATATTACCCCACTGAAAGACGTACGCAAGCCGCTGGATTCCAGCCAGCTTTGCTTTGGCCCACTGTTGAAGTCCCTTTTCTAATCAGACACCGTTTCCGTACGCAACTATGGGTTTTACCACGGATTAATGAACCCAGTATATAACTTTAGGATTGATTTCTCATGCTTTGCCGTATTATTTTCTAAAAATTCAGAGTGATAATCTGGCATTGTTGATAGTTTTTTTCCAATTCGAGGTTTAAGGTGAGTTTTTAATTTAGGATAAACCTCAGTTATTTCACCTCCTCAGCAAAAGCAATGGTTTTCCGGCCAAGGCTTATTGAATATCCTTTTCTTATAGCAGATTATCAACCAGAACAACAGTAAAGGTGAAAGTACGCCGGCTTGTGGACATCCTCTGTAGTGATGGTATGATGTTCCGGTTTCCAAGCATGCTTTTGATCCAGTTACAAGTCAGTTTATCGATTCCAATTTTTTTAATAGAAGAAAACAGGGACTGAGAAGGGCATTATTTAACGTGCCTTCTATGTCTAGAAAGGCACCTAGCGCAGCCTCTCCCAGATCGTGCAAGGCATGATCTGTCGATTTGTTTGTTTGGTAGGCATATTGGGAGGAGTTTAACGGGCGTGTCAGAAGGGCTTTCTTATCTAATATGTCTATTTAGATTTTTTTTGTGATTTTAAAAGGTAGACTGTTAGTATTTTTTTAGACAGGTTAATTAATTCTCTACAAGCCCTTTAGCTATCTATATATAGTCCACATCAGCGGGATGTAGCTTTCTTTAAACAGCCTCAAAAAGATAGGTAACAAAGGGTCCTGTTCCTTATGCAGAAGGACAAAAAATATGTTATTTTCTCCAGTTGTTCTTTTGGTTTGTATGATCGATTCCCCAGAAGAAAGCGGTACAAGTTGCCTGTTCTCCTGAATTCGACTGCCTGGGAATTTTTCCTGTAAAAGAACCTCTAACTTTTCTTAACCAGACTTCGTATAGGACATCAAATTTAATAATTGTTTCTTTAGCCAGCAGTAATATCTTAACAGCAAAATTTTGCTAAAATACTTTTGTAAATAGTACAATTTCCTAAGGACTATTAAAAAGTTTTTACCATTTACTTACTCATTACTTATATTATAAAATTTGATAAACAAAATTTAATCCTAAAAGATACCTAAATACAGCAAATAGTTGTGTCCTGAATAGTTTGATATGTTCGAGATAATTTTTTTTTAGATTTTAACTTCTTATCGCTTATCATAATATAAATAATATTGTCTCAGATCACTTTACATTCACTGCGTTTCTTTTTTACACCTTATTACATTATTTAAACATGATATTACGTGTAATAATTGCCGTATTTGTAGTATTTTACTATTATATAAAATGGACATACAATTATTGGAAAAGAAAGGGGGTTTTTACTATAGAGCCAAAATTTCCTCATGGAAGCATGCAAGAAGTTGCTAAAGGTAAGCGAGTTATTTATAATATTTTTACTACCTATTGTTAATACAGGACTGCTCTAATACAAAAGAAGGCCGCTAAGTGCTAACATTTAAATTTAGGGTAATTGATATTTTTTTTTTTTATTAATATAATTATCTTAAAGGCCGTTAAGTAAAAGAAAACTGCCAATAAATTTATAGAAGACTAATTTCTTCTGTAAGACGTTCTGTTTCACTTGATTTACATGGAAAAACTAAACTGAAAGGACTTAAAATCATCTAACACCCTACTAGTACTTGTAGGTAAAAATATATACTTATAAAATAAAATGAATTATTACTAGATAGTAAATACATAAAAGTCCCGTAAAAATACTGCATTTCACATTGATAAATATTAAAAATATATTGGTCTATGTCGATATTTACGAATTACCTTGTATAAATGGCATCTAATATCTTTTGCAATATTATTAGACATGATAAATATAGCAATAATTTAGTTTTTAGTAAATATGTTTACCTTCTAGAACAATAAAAGTATCAAAAACATGTCCTTACTTATTTGTGGCCCACCCTGTAAAGCAAAATAATTTTTGACTCCTTTTTATATCCTTAGAATGCCAAAAAATGGTTTAAATATTATTAGGGTTCAAACAAATTTAATCGATTAGATTTCTCCTGAAATAACCGTTATTAAATAAGTGGTATTTTTTAAGTTTCACATCCTGTATCTCAAAAACCAGTCGTAGGATTTGGATGGTCCCATGGACACTATTGTTTAAGAGGTCGAGAACTGCAATATATTAAAAATTTATGACATTTAACAGGTCGCCATTTTTCTATAAGCGGTGTGCGGGGTTCTTTATTATTGATTTTAATTGAACGCATTAGGTCAAAAATTAAAAAAAGAAAACACAATTAATTTACATTTTTTAATAAAAATAATAAGGAATGGCTGTTTATCAAATTTAAGTATAAAACTCTGGTCAATTATTATTATTCCAAACAGGCACTAAATCTAAATACACTAATTAATCAATCACAAGAAAATTAAATTATAATCGTTAGTATTAGTTTACACTTATGGACCTTATTGTTGGAAGTAATACTTCTTAAAGATTTCCAAAAATGCCGTTTATGGGGAGGTGTCAGATTTGATGATTTATATAGAATATTTTTTCCTTCTCTGTCTTCAGAGTTTGAGTTAGTTTTTTAAGTAATTGTCTACATATCAATATTTTCTATAAATGTATCATTTAAGAAGTACAGTTCCAATACAGTACCTTCAAAATCATTTTCATAAAATAAATTAAAACTACCCATTTGAAAGGAAGCCTGAGTTATTTCATGACTATAGGTCTGATGATTTGCAATTTCAAATTTTTTTGGTGGCGTGTAATTAGAAAATTTTATAAAGTTTGTAATAAGCATATCTTTTACAATTATTTTTTAGGCATTTGCGAAGGTACTCTATTTCAACAAAGTCATGAAAATCCTAACAATTTCCTTTGCTTTTCATAGCTAATTCTACTTGATGGTGAACGTGATCGCAGCTCATACAGGAATAACCGGGTTCAAAATACTTAATTATAATTTTTTCAGCATATATTTCTATCGAACTAAATAAAAGATGTAGGAAAATATGCCAATTTTAATTTTTGCTTGTGCAGTTGACCAGCTATAAGTCAATACAATTTTGCTTTTCGGTATTGTAAGAATACACAAGTAGCGCTTATTATATTATTATTATCTAGTTTTTTTCCTGCGCATTGCTACAAAACGGCGAATGGTTTCTTACTGATTCTCCTAGGAAAGGGAAAGTTTGGTTTTACGTTACAACTCTTAGACAGAAAACCATTTTTTAAAGGTTTTTATTCGGGACAAAATTATCACTTTTTCTAAATAAAAATAAATGTATCATCCTTCATTAGCTTTTTATGTTTTGTATAAATTAACTTGGTTTCTTTAATTCGCAACTTATGTTTCTTATAACTGGTGCCAACTTTGCAATCATCGTTTTGGTTTTCTTCAGCGTGACTCGCCCTTACAGTGAATATGAAAGTCGTAAAAAATATTTTGCACAACTCGAAACCAGAGATGCTGTAAGTACAAGTAAAATGTACTGAAGTCCCACGTACAAGTACTTTTAAAAATTGTGAATAAGTACGAGTACAAGTACAATTACATCTATTTGGTTTATTAGTACCTAGTAATTAAATCCCAAAAATTAGGTACATTAGCCTTAAGTACATAAAAACTTACTTAAGCACTTTATAGAGGAGTTAACTTCTGAAATATATTTCAGTACAATGTAGGATACTTAAATACATTGTATACTTAAGTACATATATAGATGTACTTAAGTACATGTAGGTTTAAATAAGTACTTACAAAACACTTAAGTACATTTGTATAAAAATAATGGAGAATCTATGCTGGTGGTAGGCCAAAGTCAGCTCAATTTAAATTAAAATATCATTGCTAACCGGGATTAGTAATAAAGTATTTATTAATAGTTTATATTTTACGTACAATTTAAAAATAAAATAGTACAAGGTAAAATAATAATTCCTTTATTAACAAAATAAAAAAAGGACAGAGTACCACAAAAACTTATAAATCAGTAAATTAGATTAGATTAGGAGTTGGACGTTATTTGTCCTTGTCCACCACGACCTCTTCAGATCTATTGTGGGACTCCGTTTGTTTTAGAGTATGTCGTCTAGCCTGGTCTTTTTTATTAGACTTAGCAGCTTTAACAGTGGCTCCCGCATGTAGTTGCATTTAATTGGCTTTTCTTCGCCCAATGTTAGAAACCTCATTCCAGCCAGCCTCTACATTGGCAAAGTACGTGGAATAATGTTTTCTCTTCTTCTTCACAGAACCTGTACAAAGTTGCTTCTTCTGCTGGATTTATGACACTCATGTGCCTTTTGAGGAGACAGTGTCCAGTAAGAAGGCCTACTGTTTTCCTAACGATTTGAAGCTTTTAATCCAGTAGGTCTTTCGTGAACTTGGCCGATGGTTCCTTGATGAACTGTTTGGCTTGTCTCAGTCTTGGATTGTTGTTTTATCATTCCTGAGACTCTTTTTGCATCCATTATTTAATGGATGCCTTGCAGAATGCTTTAGCAACTCCACAGAAGGGTTCGGGGCCTGTCATGACCATATCTAAGCCTTCTGGGGCTAATTAGTCGACCTTTTCGTTGCCTTGATATCCCTTATGGCCTGGAACTCAGGCTAACCTTATTTTGACTACTTAGCTCTGTCAGGTCTTTTAGACAGCCTTTCACCAGTCGTGATTTGATTTCTGGTGAGAGAATTGCCTTTAGAGCTGCTTGGCTATCAGACTATATGGCAATAGTTTTGCCTGATACCTACTTACTGATTTAATATTTTTCTTGCACAGTGTTGTATGGCTATTAGCTCAGCCTGGAACACTGTTGCATATTTTTCTAAACTCAGCGAAATCGTTGATTTCGACTTGTTACAGACGAGTTTAGTCTGTACGGAGGTCCCTGTTTCTAGGATTTTTGGGCTGGTAATTGAATTTGAAAATTTCTTTCAAATTTGTATGTAGTTATGGCTCTATAAGTAGGCATAGCTAGAATATTATTCCTTTTTATTTGCCGATATAGCCTTGTGTGGTCGGCGCTATGTAGTTGGCTTATTGGGTTTTGTCCCTGTATTAGCCTGTGAATAGCTGACCTGGTTTTTCCTTGTATGAAGATGTGCAATGGCGTGAGGTTTAATAATACCTCCATTGCTGCGGTCGGCGTAGTGCGCATGGCCCCAGTAGCACTTAGACAGGCAAGCCACTAAATGCTAGTGAGTTGGCCTCTTGTACCTGCCTGCACAATTTTAGTTACCCACGCCACTGTGCCATAGGTTATTATTAGCCTTGTGTATAATCATATGGTCGTTTTGGGGTTTGGACTCAGTTTTTTCCACATATTCTTCTACAGCTTACGAGAGCTATTCTAGCTTTATGTGTGAGTTTTTTGAGATGTTGATTCCACTTTCACAAGAAATGACCACAGCATTGGAGATAATATTCCTCCTTGTGGGCAGCCCCGTGTAACTTTTGCCTGTATGGTTTACTTTTCTAGAGTGGATAAAATAATCCTATTCTCTAGACAGGCAGTGATCCATTGGCATATTGTTACTGGGGCGTCTCTCTTCTAGAGCCTTGATTATTGACCTGGTTAAGGAATTGTTGAAAGCTCTTTTAATATCTAAGAAAGTGGCTATTGCGATTTCTTTGTCATCTATTGACTTTGAAAGCAGCCTGTTTAGATCATCCAGCGCTAGGTCAGTTGACTTTCCTGGCTGGTATGCATATTGGTTGGGATGGAGCAGATTTATTTTTAGTATATCGTCCCTGATATACCTATCTATCAATATTTCTAGAGTTTTAAGTAGGAAGAAGAATAGGCTTATGGGGCGATATGACTTTGGCGTTGGGTCTGTGACCCTACCTACTTTGGCAAGGTAGACTACTTTCGCCTTTTTCCATATTGCTGGGATATATCTCCAGGCAATACATGCTCTAAAGATTTTGCATAAATGTGGCATTAACACATCTTTTCCCTTCTGGAGCAGAATTGGATATATTCCATCCGGCCCCAGGGATTTGTATGCCTTATATTTGTTGATAGCTCAACTAATCCTGTGTGGTCTTGTGATCTCGGTGGCCAGCTTCCAGTCTATTGGAGTTGGTCTAATCCCCTTGTGACTGTAGCTCTCTTGATCTCCTGAATCTAGTTCTGTTAGGATAGTTGAGGCCGGAAAGTGCCCTTGGGTTAGTATCCATAGACTTTTCTCTAGTGTCGTGGTGTAGCATCATCCTCTTTTTTGAGATGTACTGTCTTTGGCTATAACTCTATGGATTCTAGCGCTAGCGGTGGTCTCCGAGACCTCTTCGCAGAACTTCCTCCATGAGTTTCTTTTAGCCTTGCGTACTTCCTTTTTATACTCTGTAAGCCTATTTTTATAAGTAGTCCAGTCTTGTGTGGATTTGG